TACCAAACACTACCAACTTTTACTTTTTCAGAATCACTTTTTCTTCGAACACTACCAACTTTTACTATTAATCACTTTTCCCAAAATCACTTTAAAAAATCACTTATTTAAAGTTGAAGCAATTGCAAACACTGCCTTAGTTGGTTTGATAAGGTTCCGTTAAAGCCAGTATTCCCACCACCCCTGCTTCGTACTCCGCATATCCCAAAACTGTCACTGGACTTCTATCGTTTACTACAGTGGAGCTGGGGAGACGATGAGTTGTTGCAGCAATGTCAGCTCCATCTTCACTAGAACGCCACATATCTCGCCGCTTCCTCCAAGGCCTCCTCGATTTGGCATTTCTTCTAGCACAATCGTCTCCGATAAACCAACAATTTCGACCCAGAAATGCAGACGGCCATCCGGTCTTCGCTGTAACTCTCAGCTCACAACAGACCTTGCACCTCTCACTTCTGCAGCTTATGGAACTCTATTGCTTGGAGGCGGCCTCTTTGCATGTAATTTTTGTTTTTCTTCTCGTTTTGAATGTGCATATTTTCCTGCTCATGTGCTGAATATGTATGTAATTATATTTGAACCCCCCTAAAAATGCGTTCTTGCTCTGCAGATGCAAGATCTGGAAGTAAGGGTTCACTTATAGGTGGATTAACTGGCGGCACACTTATGGGTACAGTTAAGTCTTGTTTCAACTAAAAACTTTCAATTTTTAGTTTTTTTTTCTTCTTTTTTTCTTTTGAAATGCTGGGAGATCTGATTCTTAACAAATTATTAATGTTTTTGTTAGCTTGAGGTAAGTTTAGTAGATGAGTAGAGTTCAATTTAAGATGGGATATGAAATGGGTTGATACCAGTAACTGAACTCTGGCTAAGGGTCATTTTGGGGGTAGGGTTTTGGAGGGATGAATGTATATATCTTGATATACATTGAGATTTTACAATTAGTGATAAGAAATATTTGAATAACCATTTATTCGTTTTTAGACACATTCCATATATACAAAGTATGAATGAAGATTTAGGCTAAACCTCCTAAGCCTCCCCCTCTAAGAGCATCTCTAGCGGTTAGCTAATTGCCTTCATAACTTGACTAGTCACATAAGCATTTGTAGCAAAATTGAAATATACTCCAATGGCTAGCTATGACTATTTCCTCTTCATTTATTATTTATAATGCTTTATTTAATGATTCTCCTTTCTCAAGCTAGTAGCTCATTTAGGTTAATTAGCTTTCTCAAGAAAAAGGAAGGGCAATGCTCCAATGGTAGGCCAGTAGCTTCTAAATTTCAAGCAAGTCTCTAGAAGCAACCATTGGAGATGCTCTAAGCCCCTCCTATACCCTCCATCAAAAGTTACCCTAAGAGAATTTATCTATGGAATTTAGTAACAATGATAACATCGATTCTAATCAGATGATGTTTCTATTTGTAATTGTTCCGTTGCTCATGCTTTAGCATTCGTCTTATTACTCTGTCATCTTTGTAGAATAGGGGATTGGTGTGTTGAACAGAAATTAGATTTAAGGTTTGGCTAGCTATGGCTCCAATAATCCTTTACCCAGCTGAGCTCAGTGCTTGTTTTAATTAGACCAATAAGTGGGTCTAATTAGGTTATATTTCATTAGGAGAAAAACATGAATTGGGTTATATTTCAAGATCTGGAAAGTAAATGGATAACCTGCATTCAGTATATTTATAATTTACTGTCATAGAGAGTAAGAGTAGCCAATTATGATAACAAACACAGTTATTATGACAGTTGATGTTGGCTCTTGTTCTTACACAAATGGATGACTTAAAACATTGTATTTTTGTTCTTTTGAATCATTTGCCTTCCTTAAAAAATATCTTAATACATACAAAGTATGTTTTTTGCCGAATTGTGATACGGAGTATTAAAGATCATAGTCATCAAACAAGAAGCTATATGTGTTTGCCTAGAACTGAAAATGATTCCTTTACAGGCTTACTTCCTCATGCAAGCATCTGAGACCCAAGAATTAGGGGACGCCTTAGCATTTGGATCAGCACTCCTCTTTTCCTCTGTATTTGGTATGTATTTCCATTTGCTCCATATATAGTCAGAGTTGGATTTCAATTACTCAATTGGGTCATAATGCTTTTAGGCCAAATATATTCATTAGGGGAAAAATTCTCTAAATGAGTAAATACAAGGTGGTTACCCTCAACATGAGTACTATGTTTTTTTCTTGAAAACCTAATGTTCACATGACTTACGTGTTACTCCTATTTGCAATAATTTTGTAAGATTGAATCTGATCCATTAGCCTCTCTAACCTAATGTCTAGTGAACATGTTTTCTCTCCAGCTTTAACCATAGCCTGTCTTATAATCAATTACAAGGTTGCAATTTCATTGGCGTTACTTTTACAGCTATACGTCTGGTTGCTTCCCGTAAAGTAGTCCCTGCAGCTCCATTGCTTGGTGTTTCCGTCGGGGTGCTGACAGTGTTTGTTCTAGCCTATCTGCGCAATAAGATCTGATCCATTGTAATGTGAAGAAGCAGCATGCATTTAAAGTTGAAGTTCTAACTCGGCAGCAAGAATTCTCAGACTGTGATTTAGCAAGAAGCTGATGTAACTGGTGGAGAGAATTCTGATTTCTGTAGTAATGTCAGTGTTATACTTGACACTTTGACAACATTGACATGATGAATAAAGATATAGTTTGATTTCATACTTATATTGTTATACATACTATGCATATACCCACTCCGTCCCTGTATAAATATCTCACTTTCCTTTTCAGTTCGTCTCTTAAAAGTGCTCTTTCCTTGTTTAGCAAACAAAACAGTGCAAAGTAGTTCCAAACGGTGTCAAACAATGTCACTTTATTAAATTGTGTGTAATTTAAAGAGACACTTTGAAATAGAGACGGAGGTAGTATAAGGCATTCAGCTCGTAGCATATACATTTAATACTGTATAATGGTGCTAGTTATTTATTTAACACCCTCATTCAGTTCAAATCAGGCGGACAAACTCTAAGTGCCTAACAAATAATTAAACAAGACTATAATCTAATCATTCTAATAAGACATTGAAACCATAAGTAATTAAGTACGTCGTATAAGACAAATACTCTAGCAGTTTTAGATGATCATTCTAAAGCGAGTTAAACTCAACATCATTTGTTACTCGAGTCCATTTACATTAAAATAAAAAACTGGTCCAAAAAAACTCACAGAAAATGACTCTAATTATAATATTTGTCAGCATCTTATAAGACATGTTAAACTTAGAATATATATGTAACCATGTGATGTATATTCTCATATACCTCAAAGATATCAACATTCACGAGTAATGGATCAATTCGCTAAGTCCAAAACTGCAACCGGGCCCGATTCCACTGAGGTCGGTTTCGTAGTCAGTTCTCATATCACCGAGATAAGTCTAAATCTGCTACCTAGACCAAGCCCGATCCCGCAAAAAGTTCAGTCAAATGAGTTGTTTCAGCCGATATTTAGGATTGCATTAAAGAAATTGTGGGAAATATGACTAACATGGTCAAGGTTCCTAAATGTGAATTGATGTTTTATGTTCTTCATATATAATTAGTACCTTTTTACCCTTAGAGGGCGTTTGGAAGAGCAAAAAAAGGCTGATCAGGCTTAAAATCCATGAAAATAGCCAAACACCTCTTCTATGGGCTGCTTTGGCTGATTCTTATTATCAGCCAAAAAAGTTGCTTCATGGTTACTTTTTGAGCTGTTTTCTATTTTTGTTTGATTAACATGTTAAAAGACAACTATAACCAGCCTTTTTTTCCTAATCGTAGAAGTCATGCTCTGCGGACTTCTCTGCTCTATATTGGTTGTGCCGTTCTAGCCTTCAGGGTATGAAAAAAAAATAGTTCTCTAGGAAATATGAAATCCACCATAGTGGTTTTACCCAATGTTCTAAAAGGCGCTAGGCGCTAGTCGGGCGCCAGCCCAACGCCTAGCGCCTAGTCGGCTAGGCGGGCGCCTAGGCGGGGACTAATCGGAGACATCGAAATTGTAGTTTTATCAATATTTTTGCATAAATATGATTAGTAATGTTGTGTTTGTGTGTGTATAAAAAATATATACACGCACATACACGTTAACATGCATGAATGATAGAGTTGTCACATTTAATAATATATTATATCTACTCACTAGTAGCTTTCTTCACATGCATTGTCAAAGTTAAATGTACATATTTCTTAGGATACTAAAATAAAAAATCAAAAAAAATGTTCGATGAATCTAGATGCCTAGGCGGCCCATTAAGCGCTCTGGGCGGGCGACTAGGCGCCCTAGACGGCCGACGAATTCACCTAGGCGCCGGTTCAATTAATCGGAGCGCCTAGACCAAAATCGGGGCGCCCGACCACCGCCTAGCGCCTAGGCGGGGACTAGTCGGACGCCTAGAGCGATTTTTAGAACAGTGGTTTTACCATTATATTGAGTTACGTGATTGGAGCTTCTGTGTTGATGTTTTGATATGTATTGTTGCTATTTAAAGTGTAGTATTTTAGTGTAAAAAGATAATACCCTTTATGGTAATTATACATTCAATCAGCCAATTCAGCCAATATATTAGCAAACACTTTCACTTCAGGATTTTAGTCTTTTCAGTCTTATCAGCCATTGCAGCTATTACCAAACAGGCCCTTAATATAATTAATGCCCCCTGTCCTACTTTTTTAGGGAATAGGGAATTCAGCGGCATTCCGACGAACAGCGGCAGCGGTTTGGCGACCGATAGCGGTTGTCCGCTGACCAAGCTTGAACCCCTCCATGGATGTATTTGTTCAATCACAAATTATGATTCCTATTTAGTGCAGTACTGCAGTTTAAACATTGCCTCCTATTTTTTTACTTTGAATATGCTTTACTCCTATTGTTGAGATTGCTTCGTCTCATCTCATTATAGATATGTGTCAATTGAAGTGAAATGAAATTGCCAGCTATAGAAGAGAAGAGGGTAAAAATAAGTGAAAGATTTTGATATCTTCATGATTATTTTTCGGTAATAATTACATGTATTATTATTATGAAATACTAGTGTAATAGTGTTCAATTCAGGTGCGTGTGATTGGGTGAAGTTGTTGGTCTTTTTCTCAATCATGTTTCAACACATCTTACAATTCTCCCATTTCTTCTTTAAGTCTTAAGCTAGAAACAGAAGTAGATAACAGTTCAATCAATCTCATGCACCCGCAACAATAGTGTAGATTAGTTCTTCCGACATTTCACGAGAAGGCCAATGAGCAGCAACGGCATCAATAGCAGCAGCCACCTGAAACATTTCACAGCGAGTGGCAGCTCACCACGAAGATTGCATTGTAGTTTTGCGATCTTTTCTTCCTCCGTGATTCTCAATACCATGTCACCAATTAGTTGTTTACCGGCAGCCGCCTGGGAACTAGATAACAACTTTGTTTGGTGTTGCTCCAACCATGCGCGCTCTGACGGTGACAGTTGTACAAACCAGCTCGAATTTAAGAGCACATAGGTGCGCGAATATATCCATGAGTGATGGAGTTCTAGATCTCCGAAAACGACCCAAGTCCTTCGGATGTGAATAATTGACATGAATTGATCGCTCTGACATTGCGGACATATGCTTTCAGAAGAAGAAGAAGAAGTAGAAGAGATTATGACATGAGGTCTATGACATTGATAACACCAATAAAAGTGATCCTGGTTGTCAATAGTTGCATCTGTGAATCTGATTGCTCGATGAAATAAGTTTTCACGACAACATATGACTTCGGAATCACGAGATGATGAAATGATTGCGCTCAGGTCTAATGTTCCCCGTCTTTGACAGTCGTAACACCAATACCATTGATTGCATTTTGTTACCTGTTCCACGGCGGATTGAAGCTGTCCAGGACCCTTCCATCGATTGGTTGGTGGCGCCACCCCTTTTTTATTCCATCTTAAACGTATCACAACTCCCGCCCGCTTAGTCATTAAATATGACTCTATTTCTCCATCACTTTTGGGTCGCCCGTGCCACCGTACCGGTGCCATTTGATGATTGCCAATATCCTTAATGTAGAATGTAATGCTTTGAATCTCATATATGAGCCGAGATAAGCATCTAGGACATGAGGTGCCCCTATGAGGAGATGAAGATGAGACTATACATTCACAATGGTAGCACAAATAGTGATAATTAATTGTGTCATCCATTTGCTCTTTTCCAATTTAAACCAAAAAATGTTTCTATACAAGGAAGAATTAAATTAAATATTAAACAATCACAATCGAAATGATTAGGAAATAATATGTTAAATAGAACTAAATCTAGCTTACGAATTCATATTCTGATACTTCATATATATATATATATATATATATATATATATATATATATATATATATATATATATATATATATATATATATATATATATATATATATATATAGAATAAAGATCAAATGAGAACATTGCTTAACGTGAGAACGTGAGAACACCACTTTTTCCCCAACGTGTTGCACAATGAAGCTTGTATATTGCACATTTTCACATTTTAACAGTATTTACAAAAATGCCACCGTGTTTATTTATTATACTCTTATTTCGACCAAATTGAAAATGTGCAACAGAATAGCTCCATTGTGCACCACATTGATTTAAATGTGAGTGTTCTCACGTTCTCACGTTAAGCATCGTTCTCACTGGAACCGCACCCTATATATATATATATATATATATATATATATATATATATATATATATATATATATATATATATATATATATAGTACCACGATGGACCAACTTATGAAGAAACGTATATTCTTTGTATATGTTTGCTTGAAGTCACATATCTGTATTTAGTGTTTACATGCCTACTTTGCTAGGTTTGGAAAGTAAAGATGAACTTTTTAGGCCAGAATTTTGAGTTGTACTACCAGAAATGAACTTACATTTAAAAGTAATTATAATACTCCTTCCCTCTCAAATTGAGTTTCGAAATAGACTTCTTGAGTCAAACATATTCATTTTATTTACTTAATTAAGATATCAATTCATAACTAAATTTTAATTTTGATTTTTCAACTTTATAGAGATTTTAATGTAATTCTTAATATGTAGATTTTAATTATTAAAATTAAATTAATTATCAATAGAGGGGATTTAACTTTAACATTGATTGACCAAAATATAATGACTTTGCAAAACAATCTAGGACGTAGTAATTTGCTTCATGTAATATTTTTTTTCTCGAAATACATCAATACCAAATTAACCATTAAAATATATTTTTCTCGAAATAGACCGAGAACGTAGATAGTAGTCTACTTGACTTTACAATCGCGTCAATCTATACCAACTTATGAAGACATGTATATTCTTTGTATATGTTTGCTTCAATTTACATGCCTACTTGACTTTACAATCGCGTCAATCGATCTATACCAACTTATGAAGACATGTATATTCTTTGTATATGTATATACTAAATACCAAGCAAAGTAGGCATGTAAATACTAAATACAGATATGTGACTTCAAGCAAACATATACAAAGAATATACATGTCTTCATAAGTTGGTATAGATTGACGCGATTGTAAAGTCAAGTAGACTACTATCTACGTCAGTGGCGGAGCCAGAGATTTTTCGAAGGAGGGGTGTACCGAAGGCTAAGAATTATTGTGTAATTGTTCAAAATATAATAAAAACAATAAAAGCGTAATACGTTAGCACAAATTAGTTTATTACATATTGCTTGACTCGTATCTATATTATATATCAATCATACGAGTTTAAATTTATTCAAAGTGTTGTATAATAACTTCATGTTGGAAAAACACGACTCCCAGTCTTTTCTAGGATCATGAGCTCATAGACCTTGTACACTTGTGACTTATCCACACACTCATAATACAAAGACTCAATCTGACAAAATCATTTTCTATTACCACTTTCACTCTTTGTATCTGGGAATATTTTACTCTTCCTAACTCGATCATGATCACATATCCTTCATCAAGCGATATCTTTGAGTCTTTTTTCACAAGGCTAGCTCTCACTTTCCTCTCTCAGGAGACTCACTTTCAATCACTCAAGGGCTCTCCTAAAGGTTCTCATAGAAATAGGAAAATTCTCCATACTAATCTCATCAAAGCTTCTCTAGAATCTTTTTTTATACATCACTACACATCTAGCTAGATTCTTTTTTTATACATCACTACCATCTAGCTAGATTCTTCCAAAAAGTATCCACAAACTTCTCAAACTTCTCTACTCTTCTTGACAATTTTAGATACCTTGAGAATTCTTCAAAATGTTCTAAAGGCTTTCACACCCTTCCACATAATTTTTGTGAGTTCCACACTTCTCTAGAAAACTCCACATTATAATTCTAGAACATTCAATACTTCTTTACACACATGCAGAGAATCTTAGACATCTTTGTAAGACTGTAAATTATAAATTCTCATGAATTTCTTCGCTAAGGAGGAAACCCAACACAGTCTCGAGAATGTTTTGACAACATATTCGTCAAACTCGATACTTTCTTGCTCAATATAACCATGAAAAGCCAACTCGTGTGTCATTAAAGATTTAAAACAATGCACACTTGCATTAAAATGAGTATGTTATGGTGTAGTCAATACTTTTAGTCCTAAAGATACGTACGTTTCTTGAAAGACTTTGCCTTTTATTTTCACATTTAATCTAAAATTAATCTTAATTGGTATTGATTTTTGAAAAGAATAAGGGATGCATTAAATACGAAGTATATTATAAGTAGTAGTACTAATTTTTTTCGTCCAAAGCGGGGGCGCTTGCCCCCTCTTGCCCCTCCCCAGCTCCTCCACTGATCTACGTTCTCGGTCTATTTCGAGAAAAATATATTTTAATGGTTAATTTGGTATTGATGTATTTCGAGAAAAAAAAATTACATGAAGCAAATTACTACGTCCTAGATTGTTTTGCAAAGTCATTATATTTTGGTCAATCAATGTTAAAGTTAAATCCCCTTTATTGATAATTAATTTAATTTTAATAATTAAAATCTACATATTAGGAATTACATTAAAATCTCTATAACATTGAAAAATCAAAATTAAAATTTAGTTATGAATTGATTACGGACTAACTTGCATGTGTAGAAAGGTACGAGGATAGTTTTTTTTACTCCAGGAGTCTGAGGGAGGGAGACTGAGGGGAGCCTGAAGTAATTAGGCATGAAACTCATTCCATTGAGTTTCGAACTCGAGACCTCCCATAAAGGAGAATAAGTCGGCAACTAGCTGGGCTGGACTGCTAGCTTCCCAACATTCTTCTTTTACATGTATACAGTATACTAGACAAAGTGCCCGTGCATTGGATGTATCTAGAATAAAATAACCATTTATTTAAAATATGAAGTATATTTTATTATGATGATAGGTAATGTGTAGCTTAGATTATTACTCCGTATATAATAGTAGCTATAAAAAAATAAAAATTTGGCTCATACTCCCTCCGTCCCAATTTACTTAGCCAAACATGATTTTCCAAGTCAATGGTACCTAACTTTGACCGCTTATATATTTATATAGATAAAATATTAATAATATGAAAATTATATGAAAATGTTATTTGTTGAAAATACTATCATAAAAGTATATAGTTATTATTTTTTGCATAAATATATTAGTTCAAATAATTGCTCAAAGTTTACGAGCTTTGACCGGAAAAGTCAAGATTGGCTAACTAAAATGGGACGGAGGGAGTATGAAAAATTGCAAATAAAAGTAAAATAAACGATAACGCATAACAATAAACTCTATGTGGTAATGGATTTAATAATAGTATAAATATTAAGGGTCTCATAAAACCATTAAAAAAATCATAAATGTTCATACTTCACAAAAAGAATCGTAAAATTTCAAAAACTTTTTTATAAGTCACATTATTAGTGGTGTTGATAGCACGACCCTCGTCATCACATATAAAAATATTCAAATCACTTTTTAAAGTGACTCATGGCATGATAACGTAGAATTATTAGATCGTGCGTAAAAACATATTTTGAAAGATATATACTCATTTTATGTAGAGATTGTCTTTGACTTTTGTTTATCATTATGACAAATGTAGCGATAATTAGATTTTGTGACGAGAGTTCTGCTATCTGACGGGATCAATGATAATTGTGGATGACCAACACTTTTAGATAACGAGGCCAATGGCGCATGAAATTTGACATCAAAGTGAGCGCAAGGGTCCACATATTTGAAAGTTTATAAAAAAGTACGTACAAAGTAATATTTATTTTTATTGCTAATTAAGATGGACATAGTTCATTCATATTTAAAAAACAAAATGTCAATTAGAAATTGTATCCAAATCACTTAAAAAATAAAGAACATTAATTTACTAATAATGTAACTAAATGTGTAATTGTTGTGGTTTCAATTAGGCTCAACCGCTCAAAGAATTCATCACCGAATAACATAGTGTTATTTCAAAGATATTTAAATTAAGGTCGTGATCTAATTTCGCAATAAAATATAATTATTCACAATTGTTTTAAAAATAATCATTACGTTGGCATCGGTTTTGAAATTATAGTTTATTACTCTGTAATTTTGAGAGCATGAAAGTTCAGTTGCGGAACATCGTCGTTTGGCTCATATGATATACAAGTAATTTGCCAGGAGATCACGGATTGTACATTTTTACAGAAGTTTGGCTCTAGGCCTATACGGGTGGATAGAAGAAAAATGAAAAAAAGGAACTAAATGTAGTTCTTAATATGTAAACTTTAATTATTAAAATTGAATTAATTATCAATAAAGATGATTTAACTTTAACATTAATTGATCAAAATATGCTGACTTTTCAAAACAATTTGGAACGAAAGTAGTAATAATTTGGAGTATACCAAATTAAACATTAAAATATATGGAGTATTTTTCTTGAAATAAACCGAGAACGTACTAACGTAGCTAGTATATCTTTGCTATGGTTGCTTTTATGTCTTTTCGTGACATTCTTCCTTTTACATATACTCCCTACATTGTCCCACAAAACTTGGTCAAAGTTGATTTACACGTAGATTAATAAAGTAAAAATTGTTTGGTTGAAAATTGTGTAAAGGATAGATAAACAATTTTAACCAATTATTTCTTACTTTAAATGAAAATGATAAAGTTTTTTGGAATGATCAAAAAGTAAAATTTTACCAAATTTTATGCATCCCAGAATATATTTTGCTTGGTTGTAAAAGGTGTGTACATAATTACATGAAAGGATGACTTAAATGAAAGGGAAACGTGGAACATAATTTTAATTTTATGCATTACTAGATAAAGGATGATGTTATAA